ATACATAATACTGCAAATTTTACTGTGTTTTGGGAAATGGTTTTAGTTTATATTCTATGTGTATATTAGTATACCAAAAAATAGTATGCTATTCGAAACTGTGATAAATATCACCTTCTCCAGCTTGAAGGCAGATTCGGCTTGTTTGCGTTGAACTTTCACAGCAGAAATTAGATGACTGACATCTTGCACATTGAGTTCCTTACAAACATCCTGGAAAACAACCGGAAACATCTGACCTTTTAGTCTAATTTAGATACTGTAGTAGCTTTTACTGATATTTTAAATTGAACAAAATAGTTTTTTTATGGTTTTAGTTTTATCTTTACGTACCATAAGGTGTCTCTTGCAGGTAGAGGCATCCAGATGCTGGATGGCGGTGTTATCTGCGTTTAGCGTCTCTGCCGAGTCCAGCGTTTTGAGTGCTTGAGATGATCTGTTTAACAAGTAATTCATTAGCCTGATTCATTAGAAGAACTGTTTGTTAATTTCAGATCTTACCTGATGTTGCTCTGCTGAATGATCCGATCCAAGCGTCTCAACTGCTGTTTGCAGGTTTTCAGTTCTTTTATGGTGGGTCTAAAATGTGTAACATTAAAAACGTCACCAACTAAAAATATATACCAATAGTAAGGGCTACAAAAATCCGCTATCAACCTGGACTCCAGATCTTCTTTTAAACGCTGGATTTCGGTCCTGAGTTCTTCTCGCTGAGCTTTGGTCTCCTTCAGCTGCTCCTGGTATGACTGAGACGAGCAGAATCACGTTTACATGTCAAGATCGAGAATAGATATCAGATATTTCTCATTATAGATACCTTTAAAAGGGCCTTATAGTTGGAAGACGTGTCAGTGGCGGCTTTCACCACTGTGGATCTGTTCTTTTGGGAGTTTGAGGAGTCCTTCTCTCCAGAGCTACCTTTATATAATCTGCAGGAAAAGATGACGCTGATGTTAGAGGAATTTACATTTCTAATTAAAATGAAGTGAAGTGAAGTGACATGTGGCCAAGTATGGTGACCCA